TATCCGAGTCCTTCGGACGCTTCGCTTCGTACCGTTCTCCCTTGATGTTCGTGTAGTCTCCATGGCTGACCGTCTGCTCGGTGAACGAGCCATCTCCTCTCATGATATCCGAGTCCTTCGGGCGCTTCGCTTCGTACCGTTCTCCCTTGATGTTCGTGTAGTCTCCATGGCTGACCGTCTGCTCGGTGAACGAGCCATCTCCTCTCATGATATCCGAGTCCTTCGGACGCTTGGCTTCGTACCGTTCTCCCTTGATGTTCGTGTAGTCTCCATGGCTGACCGTCTTGCTCGGTGAATGAGCCGTCACCTCTCATTATATCCGAGTCCTTGGGGAGCTTCGTATTCGTACCGCTTCTCCCTTGATGTTCGTGTAGTCTCCATGGCTGACCGTCTGCTCGGTGAACGAGCCATCTCCTCTCATGATATCCGAGTCCTTCGGACGCTTGGCTTCGTACCGTTCTCCCTTGATGTTCGTGTAGTCTCCATGGCTGACCGTCTGCTCGGTGAACGAGCCATCTCCTCTCATGATATCCGAGTCCTTCGGACGCTTGGCTTCGTATCGTTCTCCCTTGATGTCGTATAATCCTGCTGGTTGACCGTCCTGCTAATGAATGAACCATCTCTTCTCAAAATGTCAGAGGCCCTCGGACGCCTGATATCATAGTGCTCTATTCTGCTAGCTACAAAGACTTTCTCATTCGTTGTGGTGTCCGACCGTGAGCTGTCTTGATTTAATACTGCAGTATCTCTTGGAAGCTCTGATCCGGATTGGGCCACGTTTCCAGTCATGTAGTCCTGGTGGTTGATCGTCTCCCTTGTAAGCATGCCGTCTCCCTTCAAAATAGCGGAATCCTTCGGACTTTCTCTGGCGGAACGCTCTATTTTGCTGACAACGAATTCCTGCTGATTGACCGTCTTGTTGGCGGATGTTTCGTCTCCTTTGAAGATCTCTGAATCCTTAGGACGTCTCGTTTCGTATCGTTCCCCTTTGAAAGCGGCGTAGTCCTGCTGTTTGACCGTCTTGCTCGGTGAACGAGCCATCTCCTCTCATGATATCCGAGTCTTTCGGACGCTTCGCTTCGTACCGTTCTCCCTTGATGTTCGTGTAGTCTCCATGGCTGACCGTCTTGCTCGGTGAAGTGAGCCGTCTCCTCTCATATATCCGAGTCCTTGGGACGTCTTACATCATAGTGCTCTTCTTTGCTGATCGCAAAGATTTGTTGACTGCCGGCTTTATCTGGCAATGCACCGTATTCCTTTAGAATTTGGGAATCTTTGGTGCACTTTTCCTCGTATCGCTCTCCTCTCTTGTTAGAGGGATGCTGCTGTTTTGTTGTTTTGTCTACGAATGAGTCATCTCCCCGCAAAATATTTGAGTCTTTGGGACGTTTTACTTCGTATCGCTCCCCCTTGACAGTGATGTAATCCTGCTGTTTGACGGACTTTCCCGTGAACACGCCATCTCCCTTCAAGATTTCGGAGTCCTTTGGACGCTTTGATTCGTGCCTCTCTTTCTTGAATGTCACATATTCCTTTTGACTGACCGTGCTGCCAACAAAGTGGTCATCACTATTCATGAACCCAGATTGTTTTAGCTGTTTCATGTCGTGGTGCCTCATTTTATCATTTTCATGTACTTCTCTCCGGAAATTTTTGAATTCTCCTCCGTGCAGTGTTTCTTTTAAGCATTTCACATCGGTGATTTTTTGGTCCAGGTTGCTAATAGTTTCCGTGAAGGAGCCGTCACCTCTTGGGATTTCGAGATCTTCGTACCGTTCGCTCTTATTGCGCTGTATTTTGGCTTTCATGGAGTCAGTATTTTTCCCATTGTTGTCGAAGTACGACCCGTTATATTTTGAAATTTTGGCTTGTTTTTGAAACTCGTCATCGTAGTTAGTTATAAAGCTGTTCACAGGTTTTGTAGTCCTGTTCGTGGGATGTCGTTCTCCTCTTGTAACAAGACCAGATTCCCCGGCATGTTTTTTTTCGTGGAATTGTTCCTCAACCATCACGCTGATTTGTTCATTCCCCCGCTTTCGGATATCTGATGCTTGTCTGGATGAATGGCGGTGTTCTTCTGGATATCCATAAAAACTTCCGGCGATATGTTCGCCATCTTGTAATATTGTTCTTACATTTCCCGTGATTCTTTTAACTGAAGTGTCTGTTTCTTCTAGAGTGGTGCGGGCGTCACTACTTATACTGCAGCCCTTTGGCTGTTGAGAATGGTTGTCTTTCACGCTTCCATTTGTTGAACGTCCTCCTTCCTTGTTAGTTTTATCGTGAATGTGAATAGTCCGTCTGCCCTCACTGGTATCACCTTTTCGTGAGAAGAGTTCTTTGCTTGTTGTCGCTTCTGTCGAAGGAGGTGCCGGTAGCGAACCCTTAAATGAAATTGACATCTGAATAGCAGCGGAACAATGGTGAATTGCCATAAGTAAGAGCAGTGAATGCCTCGCAGGTTGCGAGACATTTACTGCTTTTTACTACTCTTCCCTCATGGCAATTGGTGACGCACTTTGTGATGGAAGCACACTTAAAGGAAGGTCCCACGATAGGTACGAGGTCAAGAAGGGGAACCTACCCAGTGGGAGGACAGAAAGACCCCTAAAATTGCGGACCGACACACGATGCGCAGTAGAAATGCCCTCGGCGATCTGGCATGGCCGTCATCACGCCAATGAATGCCCATCCCCTCGTCCTTCGGCTCTATCCACCTAGCAGAGAGAGCGTTAGCGTCGACGAGGTCAGCACCGATTAAACGCTCAAATCTGCGGACACAGGTTTACACTTGGGATCTAAGCCGTTTTCTTTCCTTCATCCCTGCATCACAGACTTCAGCTACACTGATTTTTAGCGGGCTGCGTAAAGGCGGACTCTAAATGTGGGAAGTTTTGCACCCATCTTTCACAACCCCATGTATACTAATCGCAGAATTGAAACAGGTTAAATTGCCGCAGTTTTTCTATTTTCTCTTGTTGTAGTCTACAATATTTATTCAGCTGAGGTAACCTACAAATCAGAGAACGTGATTACAGTAGTCCCAACATTGCCAAAATCATCACCTTCAAAACTAATGCCCTTTAAACCCTATTCAAACCGGAAATTATACAGAACTCAATAGAAACAGCTTAACCTAACTTATAGGACGGATCGATCTCAAGATTTTATTGACATCTGCTGGATATCCAAAGCTCAAAATACAATGGATGGAAAATTAGATTGAAAAGAACCTACTACTGCATTGTCCCTGTCAGCATCCACTGAGGTGTTGATCGCAACTAGCTCACCCTTCGAATCCATTTTTCCTCCCTTCAAATTTCCTGGAAAAATTCTTATTTCGTTCTTCATTAGAGAACCCCCATCAGAACGCGAATCTGAGTTGTTGCCCATCTTTTGAGTGCTGTGTTGTTGCACGTCGTTGAGAAGCCCATTCCGTTAACTTTCTTGTGCTGCTATTGAATTGAAATTACTCGAGCCTCTGGTTTCCGAGGGTGGAATACGTCAAAGCAGTAGTTCTAAGGCACTTATATTCAATATGAACGGGGTGAAGCCGTCATTCCTATGTTGTCGTCGACCTTGCGAGGAACCGAAAGAAAAAGATTCTCAAAGAGGCGTACGAGGGCCAATAGCATAACTATAGAGCGCCTGAAGGCAAAAAAGTTGGACAAATGGGCATAGCGTAAGCTGAGTGAGCAGCAGCAAACTCGTTCTTCAGAAATCTCTTCACAACTCTTCTTACATAGCAGAGATGTCCGAACCTTTGGAACGCTTCGTTATGCACGAGTAAAATTGGATCTTTTGCAAAACAATTGAACAATTCGTGATATTCAGACAGCGATGGGCCCTCAAAACCTTTTCCAAAGCGGAAATTACACAAGATTGGGACCACTTTGGTAATTTCATGGACTTCACAGCAAGGATGCATCACAGCTTTTTGAGGCCATGCTCACTTAATAGAGCACCATTGTCTAAGCCTACCGATGCGATGCACCGGAAACGTCAAATCTGTAGCCGAAAGAAGGGAAAGGATTGCCTTCCAATTTGACGCTCAACCACATGTCATCCAAACGGCCTCGCAAGAAAGGGACGAATCGGCCCATCAAAGTTCGCTTCGCGCTGTGCACTCACAGGATTCCTCTTTCATCAGCTTGCACTTTGCCTGTCATCTCGACACCTTGAGCAGGAAAAAACTGAGACATGGTAGAAAATACCTTCGACGATCCCTGCGCCTGCACCATTTCTATACTTCAGGCTCACATGATAATTCACCTCGTTTTTTCTTGCACAAGTTGCTTACTTTCCATCATTTTTTGAATGACTAAAAATGACGACTTGAGCTGAGACACATTGATTTAAAGACGGAGCTCAAAAACCTGCATTAATTTCTGGACAGCGTAATATTATAATACTGGAGCGCCCTCCTTGCAAATGTTCTAGAAACGACGCCCGTGAAATTATGGGAGAGTTCACATCTCGACCAGACTATGATGCGATTGGGTAGATTCCCTCATAAATCAGACATATCTTTGGCTGAAGTGTCGATCAAGCCTTGATAAAATGTTCGACTGTAACCGGAACCACTTTTCCCGACTAAACTGGTCCTTATTGTTCCTTATTCCGCTAGTGCTATACTACAATAGAAGTTGTCGTTGTCAAAGAGTACCTAGCGATCCCCTCGATAAAGCAGATGTTGCAGTGTTTGTGTGTCTGCTTGTTTGTACAATAGACTCTCGCTACGCACACCCAAGAAAACAGTTTGGAGCATAGTTGCTGACAGGTGAAAAGTTGCCGTTAGGGCAGGTTCGGTTGAAATGGCTCTGGTTTGGCTCAAAGTGAAATGGTAAGGGGCCAAGTCCGACCACATATGAGGCTTATTTCAAAACTTATCCATCAAAACCTCCATTTTAAGTATAAAGAAACACCTGCGTTCACTTGGGGCACGACGACAGTAGGCAGGACTTGACAAGGCAGATACTGCAATGGGCGGAGCCTGACCAAACGGGCGGGGCTTATGCCAAAATCTCTACTCATAGATGGATTCAACGAAACGGTCGACGGTGAACGAAGGGAAAACATGCCAAGTCAAAAGGCAGGCTGTTTAGCATGGAGCGTTAGGGTTGAAGAGTTGCACCGATGCATTCATGCGGAAGTAGCTGGCAAGGAAAAGGCCCTATAACGCAGGTTTCGGGTCGTTGCTCGAAATCATGCCCGCACCCCTGACTGCCCCTACCTTTCTGATGGCTGCCTTTCCATCGTAACGGAATGGCTCCAAGTAAGGAAAATTCATGCAGTGTGCTGCAATTAATGGAACACACCGGAAGAATTGTGAAAATTTCACTATCCTCTAGGCTTCTTTTAGCTCAACTTATCCTAGTACAAGCGCATCTAATACAGGTACCCTCCATGACATCCAGCTTATACGCACCGGTCTCTATGTTTTTACAAGAAATTTCCTTGGTTCCATGGCCGCTGCAGATGACACCTTTGAAATCCCTCTTCCTGGTAAATTTTCTGATACAACTAGCAACGATCACGTGCGAAGATACATCTGAGTCAGAAAATATTCAAGCGTGATGCGCATAGGCCCACAACGTTCACAAGCTCGTCTTACAATGGCGAGATACTTGAATCTGCCATTGCAGCTCACAACTAGGTCTTCTCGGTACTCAAAGGAAGACTACGAGTTATTCGCTAAAGGCTTACTCAGATGTGCAGATACCTTTCTCCGCTTACAGAAAGATACCACCTCAGACTGGATGTCATTGCCGTCGTAATATAGGTAAACGGAAAGCTGTGCATGAATCAAGACCCCACCGCCACTCTCCTGGGAAAGGTCGTCGTCAACAAAGCACGCCGCAGAGCTGTGCAAGGAGCGCTTCCAATCTTTAGGGAAACTAAGCTACAAGTATAGTAGCTGAAGAAATAAAACCTATCATTAAGTGTTACAGGCGCGATCAGAATGATCAGGAAACTGTTGTATCAGCACTCGTGGACAAAGAAAAGAGAATACACGTCAAGACGTGTTTTAGAGGACACTGTTAGCGATTTCTACACAGAACTTTCGCTCTACTACAACTGTCTTGTGAAGCCCGATACCGCCTGTTGAAGATCGTTCCTGCTATTCCAAAGTCAGAAGTTGCGAATACGATACGAAGCATGAAAAAGGGGACTGCATTAGGGCCGAACAACATCTCTGCGGATCTGCTTCGGCTAGAAATACAGCTCTCCCTACTCTGCTCGCTAGGCGCTTCAATCATTATCTCAGGTTGACTAAAAGAACAACAGGAAGGATCGGAAGCAGTTCCACTGTTTGAAAGAATACTCCCTGGAAACGTAATGATTCTATCTTATCCATAAATCACTGGGTTTAGGCTCATCGTCCACGATAAAAATGAAAGAACAGAAAAATTGCATTTATTTTGTCGAAAAACCGGAAGGACTGCTACGCGTTCAAATTCCCGCCGGATCTGTCACAAATGCTGGCGGCAGGATCGCTTTCCACTTGGTTCACGGAGTGCTGTCGCTAGAAACACTTTCTGAAAACTTGACTCTTGCACTGACACCTCTCACTTGTATGGCATAACGTTCTACCGAACGTTCACCTCTAATCCACAAAATCCGCTTTGAGCGGATCCATTGCCTCGCCTGATACGTAGCCGCCCCCAGGCGCACTTCTTTTCATGCACCGCCTTTGGCGCCGTGCTATACCTTCGACTGTCCATGGAGTATCGTTTTTGCGAGTCTTCCAAGAAGGACTCTTCCAAGAAAGTCTGGGGAAGTACAGACCTTTCAGCAGCCTTTATTATATAGAACCGTTTACGATAATAGTACATTCGCATGGAACGCATTTCGGGCGAACACCACCAGGTAGAACAGACAGGGTTAAGAAAAAATTTACATGCATGAATAGCATCAAAGCGGTCCCTCAACTCATTGAGAGGAGCCACGAATCACCACCCATCAGTCCTAGTCTTCGTAGACTACGAGAAGGCATTCGATTCTAATGAAGTCGCGCTATTTTGAGTGCCCTTGAGAGCAAGAGCTCCCTTTGCATCCAGCTGCTTGAGCAATTCTTCTCGGACACATCACAACTATTCAACTGTTCGAGCAACAGATGAACATTTCTATCAAAAAAGAGAACGGCAAGGAGACACGACATCACCAAAGTTATTCACGGCTGCACTACAGGGTGCGATATCAAATCCATTGGAAATAGGAACCTCCTCATTACTAGGAAAGGAACTAGAAACTTCTCATCGCTAGTGATATTGCCTTGATATCTATTTAACATCAAGATCGAAGAAATTTTTATCGAGATTGAAGAAAGTTTCAACACTCACTGTAGCAGGTTAAAGGATTGGCTTGGAAATGAGCATGCCCACAGCACGAATGATGGTGAATCAGTGGTGTGATACAGGTACAATAAAATTAAGGGGAAAGAGGGAATCCTATGTGTATCTGAGAAACGAGCTGAATATGACGAATACCATTACTCCTTAGCACATTGACGCCCGCACCGATTTCGGTGCATGTCACACATGTGACATAGCTGCATTACCTGCGTGCATACCCGGCGATGCACAAATCTCACATTCGGGACATTTTGTGGAATTTCTCTACAGGACCCATATATCTCGCTACAAGACCCATGTATTTCGCCACAGGACCCACACAATCTCAACTGCAACCTCCCCATTGGGCTGGCAACGTATTGCTTTTGTCCTTTCTTTGTTCTACTTTTTCTCGTTCTTTCGCTTCTTACTATTTTTGCTCGGCTTCTCATCAGAAATATATTCAGTAATTAGTAGCCATTGGAGTTTATTGTTAAACAGTTTATGAGGGTTCAAACTGAGGCACTGGTTGTGCAAATTGAAGTTCCAAAAGTATCTTGAAATTGAAGATGGAGAGCAGCCATGTGTTTAGTGGATTCAAGGCACTAGTGGAACTTCTATAGTCACAGAAGTAATGAAAAAAATATAAGGGGAGCTTAAAATCAATGTGCATACCGGGCGATGCACAAATGTCAGATGTGGGAGTTTCGACGTGCATACCCGGCGATGCACGCGGGCTGCAATGTGTTAAACCGAAGGAAACATGTTTGCATGGGCAGCTTTTGGATCGATCAGAGAAGTGACAGACCAGATGACAGACCCCGACCTCAGAGCCTCTATATTTGTGCTATGCCACCGAAACATGGCCTGGGAACAAAACAGTCGCCAATGGCATGCTAGTAATACATCGTAGGCTAGAATAGAGTTTAGTGAAAATCAGTCGATGTCGACAATGGCTGAACAGCCTAA